GTTTCAGCTGAATCCAAGTTTGAGCGATTTTCGTCGTAGTAGCACTTTAAAGTTTAACAAACTTCTTAAAACTTATTTTTTTAAAAACTTTTTTCACTCACTATTTGGAAAAATTGACTTGATTAAGTTAAGAGAACTAACGGTCATACAAATTTTAGCCAAGATATGATATTCAGTCTATGCAGTCTAGTGATGGAAAATTCATATTTAAAATTTGCATTATAAACAGAGCTTACTTTCAGTTTCGTTTTCAAACCCAAACCCAAATACAATAATACATGCATTTATAATACACCACAAAATTAATCAATTCTGATAGAACAAAAAGAGTCAATTAAATCCCAAATTGTACTCTGTAGAGTCCCAATTAAGTTGCTCATTTTTTTGAGTATATTATAAACAAAAAATCGCAAGATCTTCTCGAACAATTTGGAATTTATAGATACTCGTGATGTTGTGAAAGTTCTCATTCTAAACTCGCCTTTTGAAAACTCTCAAAGCATCACTCGTATGTACCTATAAATTCCGTAAATTGTACTCGAGGTCGTGCGGTTTCCTATAAAAATCACCAAAATCAATCAGTACTAAAGTTTTATAATATCTAGAAATTCTTTTGTCTAAGTTAACTTACTTCAATTTTTTCTAATTCTTCGAATGTGTAAGAATTTCGATGAACTTCACCCAGCTTTTCCACATCAATAAGTAATTTAAGAGCTTCTTTTCCCGATAGCTCGAAGCAATTTCGTGGCCCGTATTCCATGGCTATGATCCTGTCACCTTCTACTTTGACACAGATTAGATGGTGAGTGTACCCATATCTGTATACCATAAGGTGATCTGCTTTCCTCACATTCCGATTCTTAGAAGATACAGGCTTGATTTCGAACCCGTCTGCTAAATCGGACACAAATACTTTCTGTTCTTCGGGTGTACTTTGCTCCAAATTTCTCCATCTTCGTCTTCTTGAAATATTTTGCCCCATCTAATCGTAAGGAGCTCGAGTTTAAATTTGTGGTATTCGCTGAATGGCGGAAGTGAGGTCTCGCTCGAATCATCGCAACGTCTACGCTAGTCTCCCCCACAGCCGCTTTCAGTGTCGTCACGCAACGCTTTCTCCCCCGAGTAGCTCCTCAGGGGAGAAAACGTTGCGTGACGACACTGAAAGCGGCTGTGGGGGAGACTACGTCTACGCATGCTTGCATCTTTATACGCTGCATTTACAGAGTAGAGGGTGGCGAATTGACAAATAACCTAAAATTAGTAGTTAACAGTTTACTGATACTTCGTTATTTTGGTTTTTTGAAAAAAACAACAAAAAACAATCAGAATAAATAAGCTTTTTGTTTATTTGACTTTTCAACTTTTAAAAATTCAGTCTCTTCTGTAAAACAAATATTCATTCCTCGTGGATTTCATTTATATTTCGTTAGTTTTCTTTAACTAATAATAATTTCAATACATTTTTTTACAATCTGTTTAATTAGTAGAGACTAATGATCTCTAATAGAAATTTAATATGGAATTTTTACGTAACAACCACACCCTTTCATAGTTTCAAGTTTTAAAGCTAAAATTTAAAGTGCCTATACCACATAACTCAATATTTTCAGTATCGATTCTACATAAAGTGAGTATTTGAATGGTAAAACAATTTCATATGATTCGAGTGATACATCTTGAAGATATCAAAGTTTATATTTCCAATATTCAAATAAGTGTGATGTCATTATAGGCAAGATTAAATATACAAAACTTTTCTAGGGCAGCAAAATATCCTGTATATAACATCATTGTCTTACTCATGGTTTAAAGAAAACTACTAGCAATTTTTTTCCTCACAGTAATCAGTGTTGCAATTTAAAAACGATGAGAAGCAAACTCAAATTCCTATAATGACATCATACTCATTAACATATTGGAAGTATAAACCTTGATATCTTCAAGATGCATCACTTAAATCATATGAAAAATTTTTACCATTCAACTATCCACTTCATGTAGAATCAATACTGAAAATATTCAGTGAGTTCTCATTTCACTGAACCAGTGTCGTTCCCTTGAGTATGATTCTATAGATCTTTTAAGTCGTGACGTATTTCCGGGTCCAACTGCTCAATAAAACCGCTAAAATAAAGAGAAAAATATTCTCAATGATTTAAACTCCAAGAAAAACCTTTAAAGAACAGATTTTCGTTTGGACCCGGAAGTAGTTTTTCCATACGTTTGACGTTAAGCCTAAAAGCTCTATTGCCTCAAGTTAACGTTTGAAATGACAAATAAATATGGTTGGGTCTTAACAAGAGAGCATAAATAAGAGACGGAAACTTCTTAATAACGCTTGCGCCATGTCAATTCCCAGTTGGGTTATTTTTAGTAACCGGATGCAGTTTAAATTTCGCCGTACCCTACTCCCCGTGCGTCATCAACTTGCGCGCGCGCGTTCTTTCCGTTTATTGGTTTGATGAYTAAAAACGAAACGAAAAGAGCGCGCACGCAATTTTATGACACACGGGAGTACGGTAAGGCGAAATTAAACTGCATCCGGTTACTAAAAATAGCCCAACCGGGAATTTACGTGGCGCGAGCGTTATTCAGAAGTTTCCCTCTCTTGTCTATTGTAGAAGATAATATGGGTAAGTTGTAGTGCTTGGGAACGAGGTTATTCCGGGCGAAAGCCCTTGGAATTAAATTCGGAAAAAATTAATTTCCGACCTCGCTGGGCTTTGTCTATGCTTTCTTGGTCTCCGGCAAACATATAATTTTGTTTATCGAAGTAGTATGATCATTCGTGTGGATGTAATCCTAAGAAGGACTGTTTGATGTGACTGACGTTTCGACAACCTGAGCGGAAGTCTTCTTTAGAGTCTGAAGATAACTTCCGCTCAGGTTGTCGAAACATCAGTCCCATCAAAAAGTCCTTCTCAGAACTACATCCACCCGGATGATCATAAAACAAATATTGTTACTTCGATAAATATTCATTCACCTGGGTTCAGACTATTGTGTACAATACATATAATTTTATTTCCAAGATGTAGAAAATTGGAAAACGTCGAGCCCAAAGTAAAAATGTATACAGTCAATTCAAAAAACGTTGTCGTCGACCGGCTCAAGCCTACGCGACAGGACCGAAAGGAATATGGGTAAAAATCGCTGAAGCGGTTAAATATTCGTTCTGAATTAATTGTTCCCGCTAGAAATTAAGATAATAATGGCGAGAAACAATCCATCAAATGCATGTCTTTGGGTTTAAGGAAAGAGAAACAAAGTAGTTATGATTCAGTTCACAATTTCCAAAAGTATGAAGGCACTAAAAAAACGTCTCCTTCAACACTTCCCGCTCGCCTACGAAGGTTCGTGCTGTAAACCAGGCATAACAAGTCAGATAAAATCATGGAGTCAACTCGGCTTCAATAATTGCTACCCAGAGTTCCTTTCGGTTCAGTCGCGTAGGCTTGAGATGGTTGACGACAACGTTTTTTTGAATTGACTGTATGCGTCTATAAATGCAAAATTTCATCTGAAAAATTTGTCTATGACATATCTCCTCAATCTTTTCTTTCACTGAATTCAAATTATTTCAATAATATATGAAAAATCTATAATTTACGTTAGAGAGTCGAATTCTCCATTATCTATCAACCCAGCATCTTCCTTGATGTCCTCGCTCTGAGAAAAATACGAAAAATTATTTTGCTGATTTGTGTTCGTATTCTGTTGCGTAGGAAAATTAAAGAAAGGAATGGGTTTTGGTTTTGAATCTGTTTGTTCTTCTACCGCGTATGGGACCGGTGCTTGTTGTTGCGCATGCGCATGTTCATCTAAGGAGTAGCCATTGTCGTGATCTTGTCTATAGTGGGTTTCCTGGAATGCGTCATAACCGTAGGGCTGGGCAGGGAAGCCTGGGTAACCAAATGACTCTGAACGGCCTTGCTCCTGCAATGCGTAGTAACCCTGTGGTTCCACTGGACCGGCTTGCTCTTGGTGAGCGTATAACTCCGTCTGGTCTTGTTCTTGGTAGTCGGGGTAACCCGATAACTCCATATGTCCTTGGTCTAGGTAACCCGATGACTCAGTTTGGCCTTGCGCATGGAATGCATGGGAAACCGCTGACTCAGTTTGGCCTTGCGCATTGAATGCATGGTAAACCGCTGGCTCTGTTTGGCCTTGTTCATATAACGCGGGGTAACTCGAGGGGTCCTTTGGGGAATGCTCTTCAACAGGGTGCTGAGTTTCTTCAGATGGTTTCTCGAGCTCGTGGCCTTCTTCCTCTGTAGGATGAGCGGGTTCTTCCTCTTGTAATCCATTCTCAGGAGCCTCGTGTGGGATTCCCGCGATCTCCTGCGTTACTTGCTCTTCGGTGTCATCATCAACTTGGTCATGTCTGTCTTCATTTTCATTCTCTTCATCTTGGTCCTCTTCGTCATCATCATCATCATCATCGTCATCATCATCATCGTCATCATTTTCCTCATCCTCGTCTTCTTCATCCTCATCAGCACTGACGTCTTGACCAAGATCTTTGAGAATTTTCTGGAAATAAGGAAACGACTTAGATTTTCAATAGATAAAAGATAGGAGGAAGGGGGGAGGGAGGGAGGGAG